ACTTGCCTCCTCATCAGTTACACAACAAATGCCTTTCCCGGCGAATATATACCGACCGTCTTCGACAATTACTCGGCCAACGTGATGGTCGATGCGAAACCAATTAAYTTGGGTCTCTGGGATACGGCCGGTCAAGAGGACTACGATCGTTTGCGGCCACTYTCCTATCCACAGACAGATGTCTTCCTCATCTGTTTTTCGCTGGTGAATCCAGCCTCTTTCGAGAATGTGCGCGCCAAATGGTATCCCGAAGTGCGTCATCACTGCCCTAATGTACCGATCATATTGGTCGGCACGAAGCTGGATTTGCGCGACGACAAGGCGACCATCGAGAAATTGAAGGAGAAGAAACTGACGCCCATYACATATCCGCAGGGCTTGGCTATGGCCAAGGAGATCGTTGCTGTTAAGTATCTGGAATGTTCGGCGTTGACACAGAAGGGCTTGAAGACGGTCTTCGATGAGGCCATACGTTCGGTGCTGTGTCCGGTGACGCGGATCAGACGTACGCGCAAGTGTGCGCTGTTGTAAGTGCTGCGAAGGTGTTGCCAACTTTTCAAGTGTAAGATGTTTTGACGAATTAGACAAAATCGCTTCGGTTTTTTGTTTATTTATTATTTTTTGAAAATCTAAAGACAAATTTTGCATGCCATGAGTGTGTTTTTATCATTTTGAAAGCAATGCTGTTTACTTTTAGCACATACTGTTGTGTCTACTATACTTAAGAAGTATGTTATTTGTCTTATAAAAGCAGAAAGAAAAAAACAAAGAAAAAACAGAAAGCATAAAAAATAAAAACTTATTTAAGAAAATGAAAACTCAGCGCAGATATTATTGGAATTTTTATTATTAACTAATTAATGCACCGTATGTGTGGCACATACATATATGTATGCATATATATATATGCAGTATAAAATGTGTAAAACGTGTTAGTGTGTGCGTGTGTTAGCAGCAAAGTGCATATTTTAGATTTTTCGCATTTCAACTTTTTCCTGTTATTTTCAACTCTTTATTTTGTATTTTTTCTCTCTCACTTTAGTTTSTAACTCAGTAAACACGAATGTGTAGCGCAGCGTAAAACAACAACTTCACATACACATATACATTACTACTATATACAACAAAAACAACGACAAAAGCCAGACCAAAGTAAAAGCTTACTTAATTTCAATTCAACTCCGTAGAGTTTATCTGAAACAAAGCTCAGCTGGTTTTATGAGTTCCCCACACGCTCAGTGTGATATAAAGAGAGAAAGAGAGCACAGTTTTTATTATGTGCAAGCCAAAAAACTCTAAAGAGTATGTGCAGAAGTGTGTAAATTAAAAGTATGCGAGAATGTTGTCATAAAAAACTTAGTTATTAAAAAAACCTCATTTTTTTCAATATTGAAATAAAATTATTTTAAAAGTGCTGCATTTTTCGAAAAAGTTTAGTTTACAAACATTACAGATTACCGATGTTGGAAAGTTCAAGACTATTTAATTAAAAAATTGCACATCAAAGAGCTTGATTTCTCAATAATTTTAAAATTAGTTTAATAATAATTTAAACTGTATAATTTTTACTTTCGAAAATAGCAAAAGCAACATATTGTCATCTAAAACGCAAAACAACGTATTAATCAGAAAACATAAAATTGAACTGCATTACATTACATTGATCYTATGCATTYCTTTGAAATTTTAAATTACGAATGAAATACGAATATTGATGCAACTGACGATSACTACAAAGCACTTAATGGATTACAATCCCTTTTCACTGAAACARCAACATATTAACGTTTTCCCTAATTACTGCTGTTTGCCGTCTCTTTACTTATTCGATATTACGCTCTTCGTAAGGGTCAGCTTTCGAATTTTTTTCTTGCTGTCCAGCCGCTACTAGCACTTCAGAAACAAATCTAATATATCCCGATCTTCTGCCCGCTTTTCAAGTGCTCAGCTCTTATGAAGTATTAAGGTCATTAGAAAAGAGATATTTTGAAAGCTACAAGTGTGCAACTTGCACGTTATGACTTATTTGATTATACGTATGTACTGCATTTACATTATGTACATATGTATTTAAATATATGTATAAGAGAAAATGACAGAATATTTGATACTGATAGTAGCGCTCAAACAGATGTTAAGGAAATAGTCGCATTTAATATTTATTTACMGAAGTAAAAATTTATATGGTCACACATATATAGTTACATATGTATGTACATAAAAGTCGCAAAAATTCAAAATTGTAGCTGGAATTTTTTTATGGAGCAAAATCGGATCAAGAATGCGTCACGAAGAACAACACGACCGCACCTAAGATTTAAAAAAATGGGGAAAATACAAGTAGATAATGTTTATGTATATATAATATGTATGTATGTATATTATATTAAATATATTTATATATACGAATATGTATATCAAATATATATATTTGTATATGACTAGAATGAGTGTATAGACGATAACTGCATACATCAATGTATGTATGTACTAGTATATACCAAGCCATACATGCTACTACATATACATCGATGCATATAGATAAACCAACACAAAGCAGACACCTGCAATGGCTAKTAACTGATTTTAATAAATTTATTAAATAATATTTAGACAAGCAAAAAATGTATCGGTGTAAGTTGGCGATAAGATTTGCTGGCACATATTGACTTATTAAAGCCACCAACACATGAAAATCCACATACACACAAACATACATACATTCACATTTGTTTAGTTTTCTTTGTACATATTTGTATATCTGATCGACATGCGCTACAGAATTTAAGTAATGTTCACGTTTAACCCGAAACAAACAAGGTCAGCGACGGGCGGCTTTCTTTAATTGATGGCCGGTGAAGGCAGGCAAGCGCAGACAAATATGTACTCATACACACAYACATATAGTACATACATAATGGTAAACAATAACGTAAGTTCGATACAATCAGTTTGCTTACATCTATTCGGATAAATGCAAATTGTTGCTTAACAACAACAACTAAGAAAATAAATTTCGCGATTAACATTTCCTCTGCCACATGCTGCAAGGAATTCCGGGAAATGACCAAGTAAATTTAATGTCGATGGTCTGGCTTTTGTTGGCGCCGCAATAAAAACAGCAACAAATTAGTTTAGCAAACAAAAGAAATAAATAGTTGGGTTAATGTATGCGAGCAGAGAGAAATGAGTTCT